ATGAGGTTAGTCCTGATGCTTTGGATTCTCAGACCTGCAGAGACTGTAAGTACAGAGTCTAATATTATTGCCTTGACTTAAGTAGTTGAATTTCTCCTGACATGTTCAGACCTTTCATCCCAACTGGGTATTTGCTCTTTTTGGGGCTGCAGTTGCCAACTTTTCTGGCAACTGTACCACAAGGTAAGCTCTGCACCTGTCTCAAGTGTCACTCTGATCTCCTTATCCTGCCCAATCTTTTGCACTGCTTTCTGCTCCTTGACCTAACTACTGCTGTGTAGGGCTGTGTGAAATGGGCCCTGTTCGATTCGGATTCAACCTGAATTGGGGACAGTGATTCGATCCATTGATTCGGATCACTGTCCCTGATTTGATTTGGCCAAATCCAAATCTGAAGATTCGATGCTGATTCAGTGATTTGGACACAGGGACAGCTTTAAAATGTTTTTCTACGTACCTTGAGGCAGCAGGTGTGGCTTGTGATTGCTCCAATGCTGGGGTGCATGGAGCATTCCACAGGCATGCGGGGGGCTCTCCAGTGTACTCAGCAGTGAACCCGGAAGTACTTCTGGTCCACTTCCGGATCTGCTGGGGAGCATGCTGAAGGGTCCCCCTGTGCCCCCCCAGCTCAGTGATTGGCCGTGGGGGGACCCCGTTGCCCCCTCCAACCCAGGAGGCACCAGTTCCCGGGGCAGGGTGGGGGCCCTGCGTGCTCCCGGGTGGACAAGGAAGTGGACCAGAAGTGCTTCTGGTCTACTTCCGGGTCTGCTGCTGAACGCACTGGGGAGCCCCCCGTGCTTCTGTGGAACGCTCCATTCACCCCACCATCACAGTGTTCAGAGCCCCTGCTACCTAAAGTTATGTAGAAAAAACTTTTAAAGCTGTATCGACGTCCAAATTGCCGAATCTGCCCGAATCGCTCCAGATTGATTTGGAGGGTTCTGAATTGATTCAGAGAAATTAAAGCAGGGGTGGGCAAAATGTGGCCTGCGGGCCAGATACAGCCTGCCAGGCCATTCTATCCAGCCAATAGAGCTCCTAAAAAAATTGGAAAATTAATATTTATTTGCCCCTGGCTGCCTGTCATGTGGCCCTTGATGGCTTGCCAAAATTCAGTAAGTGGCCTTCTGCCCAAAATAATTGCCTGCCCCTGGATTAAAGGGTCCTCTGATTCGACTGGGATTCAGCCACTGAATCAGGCTAAATCTCCGCCGAATCGAATCGGGGACTGAAGCTTCGCACAGCCCTACTGCTGTATTTCCCTGCTCCCTCCCTGCTGTGCTATGTGCCACACAGGCTGCCCATGCAGCTTTTGGCACATGTGCTGTAGGTTGGCTGTGCCTGCTTTAAGGAATAGATGCTTGTTGGTTTATTGGTGTGCAGGAATTTTTCTCCAGAATATTTCTTTTAATAATTATAAGCACTCTACAAGACCTTTTATTTACAATACCAAATGGTAAAAAATCATTGGTCTGGTCACAGTATGCAACTTATCCTTTTCTAGAAGAATTATGGTTATTTTTTAATTATATTCTGTCATTTAAAGTTCTCTGGAGTCCATAGAAGTTGGTTTAGAAATTGTGTTTATTAACTAGTCACAGATTAAAAAAAATTACAGTATTATTGCACTTTACAATTGCCAGGTGTAAAAGATTTAAAGTGTGGTTTCAGATTTAGAGAACCTGATGCTTACCTCATGATACCTTAATGCAGTTAGTGAGACTATTGGGACCCTACTTGAACTATTTGTCTCATGACTATTGGATCATTTTTTCATATAAACTTTTTGGTGGCCATTATTTTTGCTTGGCAAGAGGGAGGAATTCAAGCTTTAATAGTAAGTTCATCATATGCTTATTTTCATGTGATAAGGTTTCTCTTGGGATTCATCTGAGATTCCTTTCTAAGGTTTCTGAATATATTCAGCTTTCTGTAATTTCAGAATCGCTAACATGAGGTTTGGGGAAAAAAGTGCATATGTTAGATGTCCTTAGTATACTATCTTTTTCATTTACATTGAATCAAGCCTCTTAGGGTCTCTTCTACATAGCCAACAGAGTAAAAAGGGAAAACAGTTTTTACCTAGGTGCTGTCCAGATGGATTACTGAATGTACCAGTAGATAAACCTGATTTATCTGAGACAAAAGTTCACTCTACCAAAGTTCAGACTGTATCCATGGTTTCTTTTAGTGATGTACCCATTTCTGAAATTTGCAGAGCTGCCACATGGAGTACTATTCATACCTTCACAAAACATTGTGCTATGTCTCTGGAGCTATGTTCCCTTTGGCAAAGTGGATCTTCAATCCTTGTTTGGCTAAAAAAGAAAAGAAAATTAAAATTTAAAATTATCCACCTCCGAGCATGATGTTACTACTTTGGAATTACTAAAAGTGGAATACACGTGGACAGGCCCAAAAATAATGTTGTGCTTAATTTGTACTGACTGGTGTTCTTTGAGATCTGTTGTTCATATGTACCCTATAGCCAGGGGTAGGCAACCCCTGGAAGCTGTGCCAGCGTGTGGCACATGAAGGCATTTTACTTGGCACGCACACCTTGGGGTGGAGTGGGTAAGGGGCTGGTGGTGCACTGCCACAACAAGGATCAGGCCCCTTGTGGCTCCCCCGCCATCCACCCTGGCAAGCCATCATTTTACAAGTTGAGGTTGCAAGCGTTTTTGGGACTCTGCCCAAAAATATTGCCGACCCCAGTATGGTTTATAGCAGGGGTTGGGAAAATACGGCCCATTGGCTGGATCTAGCCCACCAAGGGATTTTTGTCTGTCCTGCAGCAGGTGCCGCAGCTTTGTCTGGCCCAGGTGCAGGGGGCATTCTGGGCTGTGGCATGTGTGGCTGATCCCGCCCCCCTTAGGTGCATGGTGGGGCTGGGGTGGTGCAGTGGCCAGACTTGCTTCCTGGCAGCTCTGGCAATGGCAGATCCTTCCAGCTCCTCCTGCCTGGGCACCTCATCCTGTCTGCCCTGCATCGGCTGCTGGGGGCACCAGATAGAGTGGTTGGGTGAGGTCTCCGTGGACACCGGGCTGGGACCTGTGCAGATAGGGCACGTGGATGGGATGGAGCCACAGCACTGCCCTGTACCCATCCCTTCCCACCTGTGGCCCTGTCCTATCTCTGGCTCTGCATCCTGCTCTCCAAGGCTGGTCTCCTTGGAGACCGTGGGATTGGTTGGCAGTGACAGCACAGAGCTGGGGCCTGGGGCAGAGCTGTGATCTACTCCCTGTGTGCCCCTGGATGCGGAACTGGCACCCGTTGCAGGGACATGCAGGGAGAGCAGATCACAGCTCTGCCACAGGCCCTGGGATCCCCATGCTGTCTCAGCCCTGGCTGCCCACCCACCCTGCTCATGGATGCTGCTCCTTACCTGCCCATGGTCCCACCCCATCTGCCTGACCACTTAAGGAGATTTGGTGAGCTGTTGTGGAGGGCGGGGGGAAGGATGCTGACCCAGCCCGGTGGGGCGGTGCTGACTCAGTGTGTGATAGCTCACCAAAACTCCCTAAGTGGCTCTTGGACCCAAATAATTGCCCACTCGCAGTCTATAGTCATGAGGGATTCTGGTTGGTGAAAGAACAAAAAGGTGGTTGACCCTGGTCTGTTCTTTAATTTCTTAACACACATTTAACATTACTACTTTTAAAAACAGTAGTAGTATGCTAAATACAATAGTTTCACCTCATCGACCAAGGGCCAAAAAGCAACCTCATCTCTGTATATCACCTTCAAGAAAAAGCAACAAGATAGGGGGATACATTTTGGCTTTTTAAAATATTTCTATGTTTCTTTTTTTAAATTGAAGCTAAATATTTAATCCCCCTCTAAACATTACTCAGAAATGAGTGAAGATTAGAACACTTTTTCCCTTCTTTTTGTGAATCATTTTTTCCAACTTGTTTATGCTCAATAGAATAAAAGGAGAAATGCAGATGTAAAAGTTGTAAAACATTCTGATATTATAAAAGTCATAATTTGTCTGTCTGTCCATAACGCTTTATTCGCACTCTGATTGATTGGCTGACAAACAGCCAATCAGAGTGCGAAGAAGCAGCATTCAGACAGGAGGTGGTGGAGTGCCGCCAAGATGTGGGGGACACAAGGGACAGAGTGTGGAGGGGTAGAAGGCCAGCACAGCTGGCTTCGCCTGCTCTGCTCTGCTCCTTGGAGGCAGCGGCAGTGCTAGCCTCGTCCCCCCTGCCCTGCTCCATGTAGGTTGTGATGATGGAGTGGAGGGGAGGGGGTGAGGCCACTGGTGTTAACCTCAGCCTGCTTATCCCCCCCTTCCATTATCACCGCCTGTAGGGCCAACGCGGTGGCGGTTGGGGGACGAGCTGGTACGCTGTGGTGCTGGTGGGGTGAGGAGAGCAGTGGGCCTGGGTCCGATGTGGGAGGAGGAAGAGGAGTGAGTCTGAGTGGGGAGAGAAGCCAGCCCGCTGCAGCAGTGGAGGGGAGCAGTGGGCCCGGCGGACAGGGCAGCAGTGTGGGGAGGAGCGGGCCTCCTCCCTGCCTCGAGCCTGGGCCCACTCTTCCCCCATCTCCCCTGCCTCGCATTGGCCCCGAGCCTGCTCCTCCCGTCTCACTGCTGGGTCGGGCTGGGCCTGCTGCTTCTCCTCCCCCCCCACCCCTCCCTTCCCCTGCAGCGGGGAGTGGGTCCGGACCCCAATCAGCAGGAGGGAAGTAGGGGAGTGGGCCTGGACAGGGGGAGGGGCACAGGGCTCCATCTCTGCCTGCTACCCCCACCCCATCGTTCTTAATGGGCAATTGGCTAGTTTGCATATAAAAATTAAATCAAAGTAGAATAAAAATTTAAGCCACTGTTAAACGGTCTCATGCTTAAGCTGTTATATTGTATTCATATTGTGTATATACGTTATATTTAGAGGTTGCTGAAATGATTAAGTGCAGATGTTTATAGCACTATATCCCATAGATGTAAGTTTTTTAATGTTTTTCATATTTGGCTTCCAAAATTGACTTTGCAGGTCAGCCATTCCTGATGCAGAGGCAGTTTCCAGTTACCCAAAGCAGAACATCAATAACCCACCTGATATGTCAGGTTGGAACCCATTTGGAGAAGATAATTTCTCTAAACTAACAGAGGAGGAGCTGCTGGACAGAGAATTTGACCTTCTGAGATCAAGTAAGGGACGCTTGAAGGCTTATTTCGCGTCACAATAAATAAGGGCTCTGTAATTACTCAGCAGTGCCAAAGACTGTCCTTTTTAAGGACCACACAGTCTCTTGTACAGAAAATTCTTTCTGAGCATTTGAGGGCAGAGCTAGGTCCGCCTTCTCACTTTTCTTTCCATTATGAAATTGTCGTGTGCAATGGAAATTTGCTGTCTAGTATCAGTAGTTATTGACTCAAATACTGAAGAAAACGGCAATATCTTAACTCTAAAATACTGCTTGTGTCACCTTGATTGTTAAGAATCTTAGCAGAGGCATGGTGTTCAGATAAATGGGGGGGACACAATATAGCTGCTTGCATTATTCCATTTGCAGTTCTTTTCTTGCACACTAGAGTAGAAGACTATGTGGGTCCAAGGTGCCCTTTGAAAATGCCTGAAAGAAAAATTGGTCTATTACATTATGTTAATGTTTTGTAATGTCCTTTTGATGAGTGGCTACATGTAAGGGCTGCTTTATTGTTCTGACATGGCAATAGTTGAATAAAATTTTTTCTTCAATTCGAATATCTCAATGTTTTTACTTGCAATTACTTGTTCTCTTTAATCACTTTGTGTTCGTCAAATAGTCCTTCCTACTTTGACAAATTTTTGTTAGATTAGCCTTTTTAAATGACCTACAGCCTGTGTTTGTAAGATATAACAGTAACATCAAAGATAAAACTTATAACGTTTTGATTGCTGGATTCAAATTTTTCAGTAGTAAATTTGAGGCAAAATTGTTTTAATATCAAGTAGCTTGGGTGGGGGAACTTTTTTTTTCCAATTAAACTAGCTTTTATCAGATTTTCTACTAGCTTAATTTTAGGACTGTTTGCAAGCTCCCTGTGGGAATATAGCAGGCCAATAAGGTACCTGCGGAACAGAATATTCAAGAACTGTGTGTTCAGGGTGTTAGTTTAAAGTAAGTTGTGGTTCCTGAATTTTTATCCTATTGCTGTTGCCCATTGATAGTATATTTGTGCCATTTTTGTAAAATGCAGAAGTAACATTGTATAAACAAAGTATCTCCAGTAACACAAAACAGCTGGCGTTGTTCGTGTTGTGGGGGAGTAGGGGTTGGGGGAGCGTGATTAAAAATTGTTCTTGTTGAAAATATCTGTTCTTTAAAAGCCAGGGTTTTGAACTTGTTCCAGCAATTGTTTTAAAATGTCAGGTATGATTCCTCAAAAGGAGCCTCAGAAGATTAGGGAAAAAAATATTCTGTAATCTGTAGTATGTTTGTTTGGAAAAAAAAAAAAAAAAAAGGTTAGCATAACACTTCGTTCTCATAACTCTAAACCACATTGCTGACCACAGTTATGGGATAAGTGGCCTTGATGAATAGTAACCTGCATTTGGTTTTGCTGAGCCATGTGTTTCCAGCGGATGTAAGTTAAAGCAAAACATACCAAACAGCATAGAAAATTGAAGTGATTTTATGACCAACATATAAGGTGTCATCCACTATTTGTTCTTGCTCAGAATTGTTGGCTATCCTTGCCATATTCCAGTTTTATTAACTTCACAAAAGAGATGGGGGACAATTGACAGTGTAAACTAATTCTTAGGAGAAACAAAATGAAACCTAAACATCAGAAAGTATTCTCTTATACAGTGCAATTGTGTTATAAAATTCCAGCAAAACGGAAATTCTAAAATTTCTCTCTGTAGAGAGATGTGTAGTCATCTCTCTATTGGTATTCTTAATGCAAGACCAAGGAGAATATAAAAATAGTTTTATTAAGGTTTCTGTATAAAGTGGCTCTTCTGATGTTGGGATAGGGCAATCCTAGTTTATAAACAAGATGGCACGAAAAGGCAATTAACATGAAAAAATGCAGAATTATTTTTATTAGTGGCTCCTCTTAATATTATGTTCACTATATTTAATCACTTGCCCTTGAATTGTATAACAGTGTGAGTGGGTTTCTTGGAGTATGGTAGTTGCAAAAATGGTGGTGTTTGGAAGCATTTCTTCTAAATCAGAGGAAATATGTAGGGAAGTTTATGGAACAGCACAGCACAACTTATATTTTTACATGTTATGTGCCATTTGCTTCCCTTTATTTCTTATTCACTGTACTGTTTTTATTACAGGCAGCTTATCTTCTTGGAGAAAAAATAAATAAGTACTGGAACAAAAAGTTGTAAATTGCAGTTGCTTAGTTGGCCAGTGAAGAGCATCTATTTTTCCCTTTACCTATTTTTTTGTTGTATGTCCTGCTAAAATAACTGTTTACATTTTAAAAAGCACAGTAATATTCCTTGAGTCTGCCCTGGCAGTCTCTAAAGTTACTTTAAAATCTGTTCCAGAGGCTCGTGATACGAGGAGTAAACCCACTAGCATTTCTAATAATGATGTACATTTAATACTTTTATATAGCACTGCACCTGTTCAGAAAAGTAATGCTTCTGAGTATCAGTATAAAAAGACTCTTGTAAAGTTGGTAATATCTTCATTTATAGACGTGTTATGTGACTTGCCCAGGGATGACTTTTGTGTAGTGGTAATGTACAATCTTAAACCCTGCTGAGATGATTTATTTGTAGTTCTGTTTGTTATTGTATGACGCATTGAAAATGACCATTTTTTTCTTTAAAGTTTTGCCAATGCAGAGTGTTTCTGAATATTTTCAGATATAATCAAAAATATTGTTACTCTTCTAATAAGATCAGCAGCTTTTGCAGAAGAGAGCTTAGTTTGTTACCTGGCATGTTCGCGTGTGCGCGCGCGCTCTCTCTGTCTCTCTCTCGCGCGCTCTCTCTCTCGTATCTGGAAGAAGATTTGAAGAAAGAGAGTTTAGAGAAGCAAATTGCTAGGTTTTATGCCATCAAATCAAGACAATGATATGATACAGCAGTGTGTGTGTACTCTTCTGTAATTTTTTTCATTTGCTTTGTTTTCACTGGCTTGGTATAATAGGCAATATTTGGACTTTCACTTTAAAAGGTCAATTTGTATTGTTGCATCTTAATTTACAAACATGAATTAAAAAAATGTAAAGAGCTGTTGTGTGTTTACCATAATACAATCTTCCAGGTTTTCTCTCTTGGGTCTAAGAAGTCAAAACTTTTAGGCTGTAGTTTTAATATGCAGTTGATCTACATCTTCATCCTAATGTCACTATTATTGCTATACCATTTAATGCATAGTCTGGTTAAACTATATAATCACTATGCATAAGAAAACTAAAATTACTGTTGCTGTGATTTAAAATTTTTGCTTTCCATGTCCATTGGAGAGGGGAATTGGTGCAATTTCAATATTATGCTGTGTAAAATATCTGAATTGTTGAACATGTCTTTATTGTTGTGAAAATAATAGAAGAAATTGAATGAAGATCTCAACCCTTTAAAAATATTGATTGTTCAGTTGTAGAAAGGAGGTTGTTTGTTTCTTTAGAGACCTGTCACTTTTGGTGAAGGGCTAATAAGTGACAGCAGTCTTGGTTGCCTTATTCATTAATACTCTAAGAAAACTCGTGCAAACTTCATTTCTAGCACATCATGTGAAAGAGAACCTTGACCAACATATTGAATGTCCTACTGAGCTTGTAAAGAGTTCAACCTACTTACTTCTGCATCATCAGTGATGAGGAAATTTGATAAACTCGAGTCACAATGGGACTTTGGCTGCTTTCTCCCTGGTCCTCTCTAACATTATTGATTTGATTTAATAATAGTTTGATAATTCAAAGGAAACCATGTCAGCAAGAACTGCTTCACCAACATAAGAGATCAGATCTGATGAGAAGGCCTGCTAATTGATGCCTTCTGAGCATCTGCCAAACCACTTCACTTTGAAAGTGTCTTCATGGCTAGGGACAGAAATTACACACAAACTGATATAAGTGATTGGAAACTGGTTCAAATCTGTAACACAGCAGTAGTTCAGTGTACGTAAACTGCTTTCAAAATGGCTAAAACTGGTTTACGATAAACCTGGATGGATGCAGTGTCAGACTTAACTGATTTAGGTTAAATCACTTTACTGAACGTTTGTCCCAGATCTCCAGATTCAAGTTCACTCGTGGTTTCCCAACATCCCAGGATGCTTTGCACCTCCCCTGTAAGCCCCCCTTGCAAGGTGGGTGGGCTAGCCTTGGCCCAAGCTGTCTGCTTCAGCCAAGCAGGGAGCCATGCTCTAGCGCTCCCCTTGCCCCCAGCTTTGGCCTGGGCACTACAGGCATGTGGCTATATTTCCAGAATCAAAAGGGAATGTCTGTTCACTTGGTTATCGGTTCAATCTATGCAGCTTAGACAAACCTGCAAAGACTGAATTGATTCAGCATTGGATTTTTTGACTGTCTGTACTTAGCCCATATGTACAGCACAAGGTTTCTTCTATAGTTAATCTGTTTACAGAAGCAAACAGAAATGATATAAACTGTATTCATAATATATTGTCAATAAGGGTGATAGAAAATGTTTCCTAAATAGTTATTTTTGCTCTCAGAAGTTACACTGAGGAAGACACTGATACATCAGGGCTGTCTATGAATTATCAGACCTAAAACCTAGGGCTGCTTTTTGAATCTTTAGCATACTCAGTCTTTTGTGGCTAGAAAGCAGAATCGGGATGTTCACATGTATTCAGTTAGGCTTTTTGGTAAAAAGTTTCCTCTTTGCTATTTAGGATCAGTATAGCAACTGCCTTTCAGTCTGTGCGCCAAATTAGAATCTCTGAAGACACACTTAGGGACAGAGAGGGCACTCTCAGGTATTATACTGAAAACAGGTGCCAGCAAAGTCAGTGACCGTACTTTCCTGAAATACAGTCTGTCTTTTTGAATCGGAGCTAATAGTCCCAGAGAAGTCAAAAACCAGACTCTCTCAGGAACTAGTCTCAAGGAAACCTTTTATTTCTCATCTCCTATAATTTTGCCTTTTTTCCTTGTATGTTTTCAAAGGCTTTTTCCTTGAGAAATAATGTGAAAAGCTTTCCCCTCACCTCCTTAAACTTCATATCGTAGTACTTAGGATTTTTATTTTCCCCAGAGGCCAGATTCTCAGATGCAATCTATGTAACAAAGCAAACTTCCACTCAACTGTTTAAATTTGGTTAAAGAATTTCTCTTCTGAGTTTGTTGTCAACAAAAATGATATAGGTGCAAACAGTGGTTGGATTGCGTCTCTCTTGGACAGTTAGAGACAAACTAGTCATGGTGCAAGTGGTCCTCCTATTGAGAAAATAGTTTCATCTCATTTTAATTGTCACAGTTTATATTTATCCAGAACAATTTTTAGTCTTTGTGTTCTGGCAAATGAACCCCGTTTATTCTTCAGAGGATATAGGTATTCCACAGGAGTTAATTTCCAGCAAGTCAAACTTGACAGCATGTGTGTGCAACCATTGCATGGCTGGGGACCCCGCAGGACCTAGGAACAGTTTGGGGTAATTATGCCATCACTTCCCAAGTCCCTTTACTCTTCCCACCCTCCCTTCCCACCCCCCCAGCTTATTGTCCAGAATCTCAACACAAAAAGCAGCCTGATTTTCATTTTTCTGGAAGCAGGAGTCAAAGGAAGATAGGACCTAAAATTTTCTCCCTTTTCTTCCTTGCAGGCATTTTACTGACATCTGTATAATGATAGTACACATAACATAGAAGACATGGTCCAGAGAGACCTTAAGAGTCCATCTCTGCTCTCGAGAGCTTACAGGCTAAGATGCGACAAGCAACAAAGAAAGGATGAAAAAATACTTTGCAGTGGCCATTCCCAAATGGTCTTTTGTTTAAGTGGAACTTTTTAGGAAGGATTTTAAGCAGGCATGGGGTTTATAGATCAAATAAGGTGCTGTACCTATGAAGAGTATTTAGTGATCAATTGTGAAGATAGGAACAGTGCAGAAATAGGTGGTTGAGGCTACTCATCATGGGTCAGAAGGCAAAATGTTAAGAGTTGAACAGGTAATGAAAGCCAGCTAAAATTGTAGCGTGTGCTAAAGAATACTCTTTAACTCTTCAGAATCTTCAACCTGGCGCTCGTGCGTCTGGTGCAATAGTGAGCAGCTATATGGAGTGGAAGAAAACAGAATACCTACCCCTTCACCTTAAATTGTGCGTTAATTTGAAAGTGCCTGTTTCTGGGCCTTTGTGCAATGCCACTTTTTAAAACTTAAATTGGCTAAGGTTTTTACATAAAAACTTCAGTGACTCACTCTTGGGATTTGCAATAATGAAGAGCTAGTGAGGCTTTTCATACAGTCTGATAAATGGGCACACACACAAATTAGGTTCCCATTTCAGGTGGTGTTTTGCCAGACCTTGTGGTTAGGTGATCAAGTAAAATAGACCTTAAGCAGAGTGTGTGTGTTATGCTTCAGTTCCCTCCCTTGTGCTGTTGCAATCCTATCCTTTTTCCAAACAACAGAAACCCACATGGAAGATTCTGGCTACTGCTGTAAGAGATGAACCTACTATCAGCACAGCTATGCTACTCAGATATGCAAGTCATATGCATGGATATTTGTCAGGAAGAGAATATAAATATCCCAAGCTTCTAGCCACGTTTTTGTCTTGATTTTATTCAACTTCATATTTTAAGGCTTTTAATTGGAGGTTGCTATATTTCGGTCAGCACTGTTCTCAGGATTATGAAGCCATATGACATCATTTTTTGAAATTACACAGTCTGACCAATTAAGTGCTTATTTTGGGTATCACAACTACTGGTTAATCTGCACTGGAAATTCACAAAGTCAGTTCAAGGGGGAGCCCCCCCCCCCAAATAAAAACCTACTAACCTGAGTTCTTTTAAACAGGTTCTTGTGCACCTGCCCTTTTCCTTTAGGGGTATTAGGTTTTAGTCATGTAGAAAGGGGAAGTTGGGCAACTTAGAATAGAGGCTTTTTATACTCACAGAAGGCTCAGCTTTTAAGAGTAATGTGATGACAACTACTGGGTAGTTACTTTAAAGTGATTCCAGGATTCTTGAGCATAGTGCACAATGTTTAGTCTAGCCTAAATCTGCTGACAGAATTCCAATTATTCGGGTTACTTCCCAGTCTCAACCCTTGGAACATAAGTAACCATTACAAATTGGTGTTCCCTGTTTCTTGTTTCACACTTTTTTTTTTTTTTGTATTATTGAATACAATGTTTAGCTTGCTCTGTGCAGTCTAGAATACTAGGGAATAAAATGCATTCAATATAAACCTAAACTTGTTTGTTTTTATGTGGCTTAAAAATGGCTGTTGCAATCGCTGTATAGTAATGTAACATAAAGGGATGTTGGTGGGATTATGAATTTTACTGCTTCGCTGGTTCTAGTTGGAGATGTTTACCTTAGCTTACCATGTTTTTAAAGAAACTGCTTATTTTGATCACAAAAAATAAATGCTGGTGGATAGCGTTAGCATGTTTAGAAATCATTGTGATAGATTTGATAAAAAAAATCCAAACAGAGAAAAATGAGTCCCTATCGCAAGGTACATGTGCTGCTCAGAGTATGTAGGATAGCTATATTTTTGTTGGGGTTTTTTTTTTCCATTAACAACCACATGCTATTTTGAGTTGGCTGAGGGTACCATATTTATATGGTGAGGCCCTTTTAAAATGGGGTAGCTGCCAGGATTCAAAGAGGAGTTTTTTCAGAAATATTAAATATCTAAAAATTGGCATAAGACCTGCCATTTTTATTTTATTTTATTTTTTGTTCTGTTCCATTTATTTTTACAGATAGGCTCGTGGACAGGAGAGCATCCTCAGATAAGAATGTGGAGTCACTTTCTGCTCCACAGAGCAATCTTCCAGAAGATCCCTTTGGTTCTGTACCTTTCATTTCTCACCCAGGCAAGTTACAACTGCAACATCACTACCTCTTTATTTTTATATATGTCAAGGAAGCTTGTGTGGTTAAATGGCCTAGAAGGACAAATCCATAGCCTTGTGGTTGAAGATTGACTAGAAGATGTTTTCTTTCCTAATGTTATCTTGAGTGCCATTAGGTCAAACCTAATCTATCACCCAATTTCTGATACTTGATGCATACACAGATTTTGAAATGTTAATATATTGGATTAATATAGCTGAAGTTATTTGGTAACATTTGGAGGTCAGGGTTTTTTTTAAGAGACTGAATTTAGGTCATTCGAGTACTATTTTCTCTCTTTCTACCAGCCACCTTTGTCTGAATGTTTTTCAATGCTGTTAGAACCTTCTGGCTCAGCATCAGACTGATACGGAGTTTAGCTTTTAGTATGGATATAATAAAAATCCATAATAGATGATTTGTTTTTAATAGAAGTCACAATTTTTTAACCACCAACACTAAACTCACAGGTCTGAAAACATTCTTTCTGCTTCTTAATGAATTGACGTAAAAATGTATTGACAGTTTTGAGGGAGATGACAGAATAGGAATCTTTCATTCCTTTGAAAAAGCCTCTGTTTCTTGTTATTCTTTTGGAGTTGATAAGTAAAAATAAGTAGGCATAACTTGAAGTCACTCAGTGGTGTGCATATGTTGAGGTAAAAATGTTCTTGATGTAATTCTACTTACAATCCATACTTTAATTTTCTCTCATGTACTAAGATGTTTGTTTTACTGTCCATCTTCATGCCTTAAATCACCTTTAGATGTGCCTCTTGTGCTAGCTACATTTCTTTTCTTCCCTTACTTTGCATTCCTGAGCATCACCTGCTGAAACCTAACACATACTTTCTGACCCTGCACGATCAATTGTTAGCAGAACAGCATTTTCGTCCTGTTCTTATTCTTACACTTAAGTAAGAGCTAGACTGTGTTAGTAGACCATCTCTTCACCTTCTGTATTGACTTTTTCCTTGTCATATAGGCTTCCTAAACTAGTACTACTTACCATATGACTTTCTCTTGATTGTTCCTTTTAATCCTACTAAGTCAAAAATGGCTAAATTACCTTCTGTCATCCTGCTCTAAAGATAGTTTAGAATTCCTCCTGAGCTCTACTAAGCTTCTCCTAAGAACTTTGTTCTCCATAAAACCAGAGACTCTACAATTAATTTCATTGTTGTATCTACAAACAAGCTGGCTTGCTTTGTAATAAAGGCTGAATTCGTCAAAATAAAGGAGGAAAAATGGTTCTACTTCGAGCAGTGGCCACCAAGTTAACTCATCTTGATTCAACATAATTTATTTTCTTATCCTTGATACTAAGAGCATCTTTTATTGAGATAATTTAGGATATTTTTATTGCTCCTCAGCCTGTTGAGCCATGTAACTATTAAATTGGATGGCTTTATTAAGTTATATAATGAATACAATCACGTTTCCATTTTTGAATGTTAGATAACCTTGGACTCAAGAAAATGAAAGAGGTTTTGGTGTAGGGGTAAAGCTAACTCTTAAGTTTGTTTTTTTTTTAACCATTCTCAAACCTTTTAAAAAGTCTGGCTTCTTTAAAACAAAAAATGTCCTTGGTTAATTGAGGCTGAAGGAAAATCAGAGGGTATTTTTGGAAAATATTTGATAGCTATTCACAGTAGAAATTCTAACACTAACTACAACTATCTGGATGGAGTGTCTTGTTGAGACAGCTTCAGGACATAGCCCTTCAGTAGCTTTTTCACTGGCACATTATCACAGTTGTGGAATATGGATTAATTGGTTTTCTTTCTTCAAGGAAAGAAACATTACAAAGTAGTTATAAATCAGTGCTATTTAGTAAATACAAAAGACTGAAAATACATTTTTCTTTAAAAGCTGGTAATCACTTTTACTCCTGAATTCTTGGTGTAGATTTGAAAGTCGTTTGGAGCCTATCTAACATCCTTTGTAAGATGTCTGGGACAGTTCTGTACAACTCTGTAAGAGGTTTGACCAAACACTTTGGTCCTCTTATTAATCCTTTTAATCTCCAGTAAATGGTTTTAGTAATAATTATGAATGTTTCCATGCATAAATTTCTGCTGTTAATGGTACTTTGTTCCCCCAGTAATGATGTTACACTCCTTGCAATAATAAGACAGTTCAGTGTCTGTTTGAGGAATAAAGTGCATCTACATTACATATTTCAGGAATGTATTTGGTAGCCGTGTTGGTCTGAGACTAGAAAAAATGCAAAACTCTAAACTCTTGGTTCAGAGATGATACCTTTTATTAGACAAAGTAAGAAATCACAAAAAAATTCTTTCTTTGCAAGCTTTTGGGCGCACACACCCTTCTTCAGGCTTAGGGAAAATTAAAGATGGTAAAAGTCTCCCTAGGTAGACAGTAACCTTCATTTTGCACAGAGGAAGCTGAAGGTAGAAGTCTGTTCCTCTGGGTCCATGAGAGTTCCTTTGTGTAAATTGTTCTTTGATGTGCAGATAAAGCAGTTTTTCTTCCCTGCTGGTGTCAAATAGCAGGGAAGTGTAGAAATTTTTCTTTCTTGTTTAGCAGTGAAGTTTATAATTCCAAAATTGGCTAAAATTTGGCATCGTCCATATTTCAGAGATGTATTTGGTAGCTGTGTTGGTCTGAGACAAATACAAAACTGTAAAACTTTTGTTTCAGAGTGTGCCTGAAAGCTTGCAAAGAAAGATACTTTTTTGCAATTTCTTAGTTGGTCTAATAAAGGATATCATCTCTGAACCAACAGTGTTAGTTTTGCTTTTCTACATTACATATAAAGCTTGAGGGGGAAAAAAACCCTGAAAAAGGAATATATATTTCACCTAAGTGCTGAGATTTTCTTAATTTGGTCAGATGTTCTAGTTTTTAGTCAGAAGCAGAAGTATCTGCCCCGTAATTTATACATTTACCAGCTATTACCTAGATGTCCCTGTTATGCCTTCAATTCATGCAAAGCCTAATAGTGGTTGTGCCCCTGTCTTGTAACTTGAGCAATCCAAACTAATAGAGGTCATATAATTTCAAGACTTCAGGTTTGATTAGACTTTGGCATTTCCTTGGAAGTTTCTTCTGCTGTATAGTTCTTTATTAATTGGAATGTTGATTTTTGTCTTTTCTTTGGAATGAGGTGTAGGCCTTTAATTCCCATGTTTTTCACTGCCTGAACTGTATTAAAGTTCTGTTACAGGGACTACTTCATTTTTCTTCCTGTTGTGATGATAGTATAAGAGTCCTTTGGTAACTACAACAATTGGTTACATGGACATGTCATATTAGGAAAATACTTATTTTGTGTATCTTTTAGTTGCCTAATGCAAAGCAGGAGGTGGGAACAAATGGACAGCACCACCTGACTAGCCAATTCTCTGTATGCTATTCATAGTCTACAAAGTGCTTGGGAGCTACTAGTATAAGAGATGCTGCAGTAATGCCATGTTCAGTCCATGGTAGTGGGTGCTCACAATTGTCTTGAGGGAGTTTTGTGGCCAGTGGTGGGTAAAAGCTTTGACAGTTTGGTACTATGCCTGAATGATCCATGTTATCATGACTAGAAAATATACTGTGGGCTCCCAAGAGTGACCAGGTCTTGTGCCCTTCGTTGTGGATGGGCACAGGCACTTCATTTCAGCAGTTATGGCATGTTGCAGGCAAGGAGGACCTTCCAACTGAATGAAAGGGGCCCTTTTTTGCCTTTGAGAGCAGGAAATTAACAGAAAACTCTTGAGTGCAATAGATTGCATGTTGTTTTTGATCTGCTTATGGAACAGCGGAAACTTAAGTCTTGAAGTCAATTTTGTCTAAACCTTTTAGACTTTCCTATATGGTTTTAAAGATCCCTGTATGATATGTATAAAAATAAAAATGAATCTTATTGTTATATTTATACAAAAGTAGCAACTTATCAGACTTTTAGTTTACACTGCCCCCTTCTCAAAAAGTGGTATTTGAAGTACTACAGAGTGTTTTTTCTCTTTTTTGGATGCATATTTATTTTAGGACTTGGTGCGCATATGTATTTCTATATGTCCAATAAAAGAAAAATAGACAAAGAAAGCCTTAAATAAATGTTTGAGTTGAAACTAGGACTTGCCAGAAAACAAGAATTCTCTCATAGAAAAATCTTGAGCGTTAAACAAAAGAAAGGCATTTTAGAAAAAACAAGGAGCAAAGAATCCCAAAGAGTTGATAAGAGTGGTGCAGGTACTCAGTTTTGATATGGGAAGCCCAAGTTCAGATCTCTGACTTGAATCTGACAGTGTTTTAATTGGTCAGCTTTTGCCAGTCTGAGATGTCTGTCTTGCTCATTCTCACTCAGTTTGTCTAATAAAAGATATCACATCTGCTCAAAGAACCTTGCCTTGCTCATTCACATACACTCATTTTGACCAAAAACGTAACTATAGACGCAAGAAACCTTCCTGACAAAATTGAGTGAAACACTTTCTTTGAAGATTAAACAAATCAATGTTTTGTGATTAAAAACATTTTTATAAAAAAATTCTCGACTCAAATTACAATGTGCTGTTTAAATATCAGGTTTTAGAAGGTCCTGGAGAGGGTAGGGAGAGGGAAGGAAAACATAATTTAATTTATCTTGTTCAACTTCAAGGAAAAATAAGGTTTATGACAAATTATCATTTTCCTATACTGACAAATAACATTTAAGGCTTAACTTTTCAAATTTTATAAAGTTAACGTTTCTGGTAACTCTTCTTGGGAGTTTTCTTGAATATGGGTCAAATGCAGTTTTGTTTCATTAAAAAAAAAAAAAAAAAAAAAGCAACTTCCTTCCTCCCTTCCAAAATTAGAGTGGTGGATTAACCTGCAGGGTGTGTGGGAAAGGGGTGGGGACTCTGAATGAAGGTGTAGGATGGTAGGTGAATTCTGCATAATAAGCATTATGGGATGACCTCTCCTTTAAAGCTGTTGGGGCGGATCCAGGATTTTACAAAGGGCGGGTGGGGTGCAGGAGCAGTGG